AGGTAGTTTTATAGGAGAATCAGAGGACATTGTCCATCTCCTGTGTGTACCCTGGGAGGCTATAGCATGTTACAATGCACTCCAACACACACACTAAAATACATTAGAATGACTGCACATTCCTGTATTATCTGGAGTCTCCCAGCCTTCTTCTTGCCATTTTAACTGGACAGAAGTCTGTTGTATTTTTGGGTTTTGTTTTGTTTTTTTAAAGTAGAGGAAAAACAACAATGTGAAGAATGCTTCTCCCAGATCACATCTCAGTAAAGCTGTTCTTCTGCAGTTTGATGTGAAAGTAAGCTGTTCAGTGTGCAGTGCAACAGCCAGCTATGTTTGTAACTTTTCTTTAAGGTATTATTACTAAAATAAAATATGGAAGGAGATATTTTTGAAGGTGGGTTGGATTCAACTTCCTTGAACGCTTGCGCCAAGATTGGCTTTGGTTGATGACATTCATCTCTAGAATCAAATCTAATGAATAAATAAAATAGCTGCCCTGTATAAAAGGCTTGATAAGCCATTCATCAAAATATGATAGATACACATTTTATTCTCAGATACACCCACATAAATACAGAAAAAAAAATCTGTTTCAGTGAGACTATTCATATTTTCCAATCTGGACACCTGAATGTAACAAGTTAAGAAAATTAATTCAGGTAAGTACAAAAGCTGTGGCTGGTTCATTTTATCACCTTCCAGGAGAACTTTAGCCTGACAATGAAACAGATAAAACCAAGATATATTCTACAGTAAACTGTGTAAAGAGCAAGATCTTCAGCCAGAAGATTGTGGAAATCAGGCTAAAATGATATTGTTCGAAGTTAGAAAACAGAACTTCAGCTAGCAAAAAAAAAAGCAGAAAAAATAGCTCAGCTCCTCTGGCTTTAGGGGAGACATCCCAAATACCATCAGATGGGAATTAGGCATTTTCATTAAGAAAGCTTTAGTTTGCAAGCTACCATTGGTAAATCTGGTACTATTAGTTATGATACACGTCTTCTCAAACACTATAACAAAAAAACCAACCAAAATAGAATTTTAACAAAGGGCATCCCTCCAGGTAAGTGTCAAAGCATAATTGAGACTCTGTTCTACCAGCTCGGTAAAAAAAGGTGAAAAAATGTTGAATGTAGCAAAAATGTAGTCTTTGGCACACTGCTGCAGAAATGGATGAACTACCAGAGGTACAAGCCCATAGAGTGGTATAATTACTTCCTTTATAACTTTCCTCTCTTCTGATTTTGTATATATATTTTAAAGGTCCTCCATCCCTCAAAAGGGCATGGGAGGAGGGGGATGGGCTCTATAGTTGCTGGTAAGAAATCCTAATTTCAGCACTGGTGTAAGCTGAACGTATCTATACATTTGAGCACTTCCTGTTTTCACTTTGTGATCAAATATGTTCTTTGCAGGGCAAATAGGGGAGCACTTGAGGGAGGAAAGCAGTGATGTCTGAGAGGCTAATTGAGTGTACTAAGAACTCCTTAGCATAGAGGAAAAGGAGTCTTCCAAAGCTATGAATAAACTCTCAGCTTGGGTCAGATTTCTTGCTGTTTCTTTTCTTTAACCACCTTTGAACTTGACTAAAAACAGTCTTAATGTCAGGTTTACCTTTCTGATGTCGTAATCTTTATGTACTATTGAAAAGATTATACTACCAGACTAGGATTTCCTCTACTTTCTTAAACACTGGATATTATCCAGAAAAAGCATACACATTTCCAACCAATTCATCCTCAGATCTTTTATCTTCCGGTAGTGTTGTAATTCCAAATGTAAGACAGAGCTCAGTAAGTGAATGAGAACATGACAGAAGCTCTTACTCTTTGCATTTGATTTCCAACAATAAAAACATGCATGTGTATCCTATTTCAAATATAATTAAAGTTACTACAAAATGGAAGCTGTGATAGGGGTTAGAAATTGTTTTGAAAGACAGAGCCTGTCAGACACATTCATTCTACATCAGAGTTCAAGTGCCTGTCTCTTCAAAAAAGCCACTTAGGCCATTCAATTTTTAAAATTGGCTGCCTTAGGAGTTTGCAAACTGATTGAATAAAGGAAAAAAATAGCATTTTATTTAAAATCATAAGTAAATACAATGGTCAGATCTGAGTTACTCTCTTGGAATTTGACAGTCTAACGGGCTTCTACATTTAATCCATGCCAGAAGAGATGGACTGCCACTGCCTCTCCTTCCAGGGAAATCAGAGGTTAATGATTTTTGTCATATTGAGACTAACAGCTAACAATTGCTACAGTTGGCCTTTAGTTTTTTATTTGTCCTTTTGAGGTATTCAGAATAGGTGACAATGGCTTGCAGTTGAGAACATATGTAGAGAGACCCCTGTGGCTTATGGAAAAGTTGCTCCATGCTGGTTGGGTGTTTGAAAAAAAAAATACAACCAGAGCTCTTTTATGTTCCTCTCCTTAATGAATGCATGAATGTCAAAATGTACCAATGGCCCATTCAGGGGGCAAAGCCTAAGCAGCTCCTTCTTTAAGAACACATCCTGAGACATAAAATACATTTGCTTAACAAATTAAAATAATGAGATAATTCAATTAGTTTCTTAAAAAAAAAAAAGAGAGAGCGAGAGAGAGAAAGAAAAAAGGGTACATCAGGGGATTATTGTAATACAAGAACAGGTCATACAGCACAAAAGAGGAACAAACCAATTTGAAATAAGGTTAGAGTAGTAATGAAGGAATGTACATTGAATCATGGACTGTCATTGTAAAGATATTTACTTGAAACAATAAAATTGTACATCACAGATTCCCCTGTTCTGGCTCAGCCAGAGTAACATTTTGAATGGACAAGCTAATTTGAGAAAAAGTGTGAGATCTTTAAAAGAAAGGAGTTTTCTTCCTTCCCTGCATGTGTTTATGGCAAGAATCTTTCTGAATTTACATTGCACTGGTCAGGGGTCTCCATTATCAGTTTGCAGGTCTGAGAATTACAGCGCAGTAAATCTTTCAACACCTGCAAACTCATTAAAGCCTGGACGGTAAAAGGTTTGGGGCTTTTTTGTGTTCATTTAATCTGATTTTTGTGAGGCCATCCTCACCAGTGACGGCAAATTTCCTTAATTCATGCAGGATGGAGAGGGTCAGGAGAGAGAGGATAGAAACAAGGAAAAGGGATTTCAAAAAGCCAGAAGAACTTTCCTCAAGAGAAGTGAGAGGCAGTTGACTGTTTAATAAGCAAGTGTCAAATGCTTTCAAGGAGCACATAAGAAAGAAAGGCAGGAAGGAAAAAAAATTGATATCACAAATTTCATAGGAGGAAATGCAGTTAACATGGAGGTGTCTACAAACCAAACTTGTTTATTTGTGGCCCTGCTTTTTGCTGTCTGCCTGTACTACTCGTGTAAAGATACCCTACAGCTAAACGAAAAACCCTCCACTAGCACTCACTCGACTTCCAAATTAAAAACATTTTACAGGTTAGTAAATCTCCAGCTGAGGTGATGTAGCAAAGAACAGCTGTGAAGTAATTTTGATAATGATGAGAATAATAAGCACATGGCAAGGTTCAGGGCTTTGCTGTTGCAGCTTCAGTGCTCCTGAATAGATAAAAGTGATTAAATACTCCTGATTATCCCTGACCAATATGTAATGGATTTACAGCCCTTTCAATTAGTCAGTATTTGCTTAGGACTCATTATTTTGTCTTTGGTTAAGTAATCAGCCCAGAGACTCATGTTCTGTCTAATTCCTCTGAGCCAAGTGGGTACAGGGCACCTGACCTTTGAAATGGCCATAGCTGAGAGGCAGGAATAACCACTACTCCAGCAGAGACACTGGCTATTCCAGCTAATCCTGACCCCACAGGCCAGATCAATGCACCTTAGTTTGCTACTAACGTCCTTACATCAAAATGATGGTTTAGAAATGTGAATCTATCTCTCCCCCCTTTAGCTGTGCTGCTGGCAGAGCAGTTCAATAGTCTCTATCATAAATAAATCGGGTCCAGAATCATTACACTGTAACCAGCAGCAGGAAATTTATAAAACCATGGAAATTTATAAAACTTCGGTAGAAGAAGAGGCAGTTAATAACAGTTAGCATTTCAAGCCTTATCAGTAAGAAACAATTTCAAAGTGCAAGAAAGAAGAAAATTGATAATTTTACCAGTTTCCATCATTTCTCACATGAAGTAAACTAGGCTTACTAGGTTTTCTGTGGAATTGTGTTTTGATGCCTAAATGAAGCTATAACAGTCAACAGAACACCAACACAATACCAATAGCAAGCAGACAAATAAAAGCCCAGGAAAGCACTGCTATTTCACATATTTAATCTCTCTCCCCCCAAATGTGAATATGGCTAGGTTTTAATATTTATGGACTTGAAGAGAAGCAAAAGAGGTGCTTATTCTCTCTGTTACACAACTGAAAAATTAAAGAATCTATAAGCTTTCTTTATTTCCTCACAAAAAAGTGACAATGGCAAGGTTGCAAGCTGCTGCTTTGACTTCTCTAACATCCACAGTGTATGTCAGCACACGCACACAGAGCAGGGCTCTCTCTTTCACCAATACATACAAAGTTTGTGTAAACAGAGGCCAGCAATAAAGAATCCAGAAGTCAGAGCTTTCTATATGTTAAAGTAAGAATCTCCCTTTTGCTGTCTGTAGGAAGATTTTGAATAGTTCAAAGCCAAAAACGGTTACTTCGTATATAGATGGTGTTCCATGCTAAGGCGTTGTACTCTCTCTTTCTTTCCAAAGGATGTGTATATATATACATCTATAGAGATTAGATAGATAGATAGATAGATAGATAGATAGATAGATAGATAGATAGATTTCTTTCAGATTTGTCATGATTCCAAGACCTAAGGAAAAAAATCTAATAAAAAAAAAAAAAGCAACAAATCCTGAGACCTAATAATGGGCAAAAAATTATGGGGATAATTGATTTCTAGTAGTGATGAATAAACCTCATTAGGCACATGAATAGAAATTTATTTTGGTTTTGGTCACCACTTACTGTGAGATGCTGGAAAAGCCACGCTCTCATGATATTTGTTGCTACTTTGGGGAAAATGCCTCTTTTCTTCTGACGCTTTTTGTCCTTGTCTGGGTCATCATCATCTCCTGTACCAGGTGAGGCTACACTGTTGTCTAAACCATCACCTACAACAAAGAGAAAAACAGGAAGGAGGAGATGTTTAATGAACCAAATACAGAAGCCAAAAAATACCAAGACATTAATTGCCAAGACACTACCACAGTTTGGGGGGTTTTTATTTGTTAGATCAGGCACATACTGTTTCTTATTATATAAGAATGCTGATGCAAATATGTAAAAATTAGAAAACCGTGTCTCTCCAAATACTAATTTTGTGTTTCACACATGCATATATCATTAATTCAATTATAATTGTGGGCTTGACATAGTGCAGTACCTCTTTTTCAATTATGGGATTCAATGTGAGAAAACCTGCCACAAGAAAACCCATTTACTGTAAATGCATCCCTACAACCATTCTGAATATGTACGTATAAGTAATCAAGTTAAATGTTCTGTAGTCTATATATTCGAGGCCCTCTGCAGAGGTGGCAGTAACCATGTCACTGTTCAGTGCACATAACACACTGTCAGAGGAGCCCCTCCCAGTCACCATCACCTCCCAGCACACACACACACGCACTCACAAACACGTACACCTAGTCTGACCCTGCGTACAGCATTTGCATGACATGAAAACTTCTACATCTCTGCATCAGTGGTTATAATCATTAAAATAAAAAGATGCACATCAAGGTAGAGCTCTCACTTAATCAGAACTTTCCATCAACATCCTTCTCTTCTGTGCTTTTCCCTGGCATTAATTGTGCATTAGCAAAAATCATTTACTTTTAACAGTCATAGTTATTTTTTCTTGCCCTCCAGCAAAAATGCCTTGAAAGCCTGCCTGGAGGGCATCTAAATTATGTATCTGAAAAACTCTTCTGGCAAGGCATTGCAGGACCCCTACTTTCTTAAAATTCATACGAGCACGTCTTCCTGTTTTTGGGAAGGCATCAATCAAGAGCAGCAATATATGCCATATTCCTACATTAATATTTGAACTAATAACTTTAAAAAAAGGAAAGAAACAAGATCCGACTTGTGGCATAATCAAATGCAAAATAAATGAAGAATACTGGGACAGCACTGAGACTTTATAGATTGCTGTGTTTTCCTTACACATCATTAGCCCGGAGCCACACGAAAGAGGAAAACAGAGAAGTGGAGAGTTTATGCTCCCTGCTGGTGTTTAAGAAGCCGAGGTCCTGGAAGGACATCTGGGAATTGTGCTGAGACGGTGGTTTTTGTAATTTAAGAATAGACATTCATTAGCAGTAAATGCCATAAATCCCATGCTAAGTAAAAACCTTGTCCAAGAAAGCCTAAAACAATAAACTCTGTGCTCAATGTAGCCTGAGCTAGACGCTCCATAGCTTCCTGAGGAATGCTATAGATTCATGAGCTAATTCCTATAGCCTCGTCTAGATCTGTAGTGCTACTAAACGAAATACATTGCTGCTACATACAGTCCATTTGCTTCAAAACTTGCATTTCAGCTCCATCTTCCCTCCCATGCCAGATCACCCTTCTTGTACTGCGTCCCCTCTGAAAAACTGACCCTTTTGGACTGGAGAGACAGAAAAAGCCACAGCAAAGAGCTGGCAGATTAATTTTATTGACATTTCCATTTTCACTGCAATGTGATACCCTCCATCACATGGAAGAGATGACCCTCACTATTTACAGACTGACAGGCCACTTCATTACAACCACCCTGCCCCAAGGCAGAGCAGCTCCTTTCCATCTGCCCAAACACCAGAGCAAGACCCTGAAGTCGCTGCTGTGTTTCTCGTGCCTTTTTTTTTCTCTTCTATTAACGATAGAGAAAGGAGAGTCAAATCACAGTAAGGTAGTTGAAGAGATTATGGAAGCTCTAAGCACTGTAACCAACTGTTTGCTTTTGTAATATATCAGTTATTTAGAAAGCACTCCTTTCTGCTGCCTTCTTCCCCCCCATGTATTCCACCCTACCCCTCTCTCTCAGACACGTGTGCGCGCGCACACACACACGCACACACACTTTCCACTATGCCAAGGAACTGCTGCAAGGCAAATTCTCACAAACACTAATGGCTTCTGACTGCTCCTTGGCAACCCCAGCATTTTAACCTGGGTGGATATGCTCTCCAAAATACAGACACTGGAGCTATCTCATCAGCTGTTCATGTGACACAGATGGAGAGTGGCTATTAGGAGCCAGGCAATGGGCCTTGGGGATCTGAGGTGCTGTACTGTAGCCTCAGGCAATTTTGAAAAGCAGTACCCGGAGATGGGGGGAAAAATCTCTACTGAAAGTGCAAGTTTGAAGTCAGTCAGTCTGTTTGTCTATCTGTCGTGCAGATAAAGATATCTTTGTCTCTTTATGTAAAAGTAATGTGTGTATGCACAGGATGTGTGGAGCTGTAAAACTTCTGCTCTGCACCATCCTTTCAAACCACAGAAACACCAGTTCACTCTCTCTATGGACAAATTCCTGTCTGTCTGCATATACTCTCCTATTTGTGAGCATCCTCAGCAGGAGTCTCCCACATGCTATATCAGTGTTTGGACTTTTTGATGAGGTTATTAATACCCTGGTTTGAAAAAGCTAATAGCAGCCCAAGAAAGAAAAGTTCAGTTAAAGCTCTCATTGCATTCCCATCATAATCAGCAGTTGAAATCATAAGAGTCAGTGCTTCCCTAATCTGTTCCATAACCTCACAAAAGAAAATTCAAATATTGTAACTCCAAATGATATCAGAAGAAAAATGCAGCCAGATTTGTTCCTACTGGTGTACGACAGGCCTGTTAATCTGTAATGTCATATCTTTAATAGGACTACAACCACTCAGTTTAGTGGATGCAGGTTCTAGTGAGAAGAAATCACAGAAAAAGCCCATAACAGTCTTTTCCAAGATGGAATTATTTACTTCTGGTCCTAGCTTGCTTTATCCAAATAAATGTCAGTTGCTTTAAATGGAGAAAAGTACAATATCAAAAGCGAAATAAAATGAACAGATATGATAGTCACTTTATGGCAGACTGGATTAACCATATTTTTCACTACTGTATGAAGGAATCAAAATTTAAATAATTTAAATCATCATTACAAGAGATTCTGCTTATATGAACCATTCATATCCTGGCTTAGATGGTAATTTGTAAGAAGAGTAGAGTAAAATCCAAAGTTCTATGGAAATGGTAATTATACAAGCATAGTTATCCCAATTTTCTAGAGGAGAAATTAAGGTTTGGATTTTGGTCCACTGTCTCTCTCTTTCACACAGAACCAAAAAAATTAAAGGTGATTTTCTCCTGCTTCCCATACTGTTCACTCATTTATCCTTGTGCAAAGAGTACGCATGATTGCAAAACCCTATCAGTGTTGCAGGAAGGTGGAGAATTCTTAAGTGGCACTCTCTTTGTGAGGTGTCAATGACTAGGCCTGATTCGAGCCAGTAGAGAATTAGGCTTTTTACCCAGCTTGTTTAAGATTATAGCAATGCTATGTAATAGTCTCAATAACCCCTATAAAAGATGGAAAGAGTTTACAAGAAACCTTGCAAAGGGACCCACCTGGGGTTCCTTAAAGACCTTCTCTTCTAGGGGAAGAGTTTGCTGAGGATGCTGAAGACGCAAGTCTTCTTTACACAGTGGGAAATTGGGGCTTCCACACTGGCTCTGTGCTCAGGCACTCTTAGTATGTGCTGAGGGTTTCGTTCCACAAGCTGAATTCCTTTGCATTGAAAGCAAAGGATATTACCTCTTCTTTAAAAAATATCAAATAAGCAGTCATGGCAGGGTTTCCATTGCATCATAATTCCAGTTTGCTGCAAGCTGATTTCCTTGGACAGATAAGCTTGCAAGGCCCAGTGTTGACATAGCCAAGGACTCTTTGAGAAACAGAGACCAGTCCTATGTAAAGCCTGTCCAACCTTATTGTATCAATGAATTTTTCTTTGTTAGTCTCCCACATTATCAGTATTATCTCAACCCTAGTCTTTGTGCTCTTCATAGAGTAAAAACCTAGCAACAGATGAAGCAAGTTTAGAAGTTGCCCATCTTGTCCTTTTACTGCGTGTGAACAGGATGAATAACAAATTCACAATCTATCAAAATGGTAAGTGAAAAGGATGACCCAGTCAGGCCAAAGCACAGAAGCCTGGTAACAGTCCAGATTCAAATTCTAGAAATAGTTTCTATTACCATCATAGCCAGTAGAGCAGTTTAAAAAGTGATTTCTGGAAAAGTACATTTCAGAACTCAGTGTTTGAGCTTCTTCATCATCAGAGGCCCCTTACAGCTTTAAGGTTTGTCACACTAAAGCAAAAGAGAGAACAGCAGGAGTATCTAAACTCGGGGGAAGACAAGACACTTCGCCATTTTTCTAAAAATAGTGGATGCAATACGAAAAGCAAGTTAAAGTTTTTCTGTAAAGGAAAGCTGCAGTGCACTATGCTGATCTTAAGTAAACTACTCTAATATTCCAGACTAATATTTTGATGGAGTGGAATATGTAGATATGTGGATATAAATGCAAAACAAAGAAGAAAATCTGCATGCAGCCCATATTCACAACTTGCAATTATTTGTTTGTACTTATAATGTGCCCATCTAGACACATAAATTATGTAAACCATTATTAATAGGGACATTCGGCTTAGTAATACAATCCATAACACCACTAGAGAAAAATCTTAAAAATCTGGTTAATTATCACTGCCAAAAAGCTGGAGAGAACTGTCTGAAGATGTTTTTGAAGATAAGATAGTCTGTACTTAAAGGAAGACTTACAGAGAGGGAAGGTCAGCTCCAGATTCAAAGACCCTTCAGGAGAATCCTTATCTTCATTCCATCCTGTTAAAATTATCAGGCTTTTAGCCTTACAGCTCCAGTAGATCACAGATCTTTGAATGAAGTCCTGGCTACGGATTGTTTTTTTTCTTTCTCTTCCTCTTAATGATCCTTGTTCCATGAAGTTAAGTTTCCTCACACCACAGGAAGCAAGAGGCCATACTTATTATCTCCTGCATTTCTTGCCCAGGGAAACTAAGATAGGTTATGACTGGCAAGTGTGGGACTT